AGAGTCTCACTTTGTCGCCCTCAGTAAAGTGCGGTGACATCACAACTCACAGTAACCTCAAACTCTTAGGTTCAAGTGATTCTGTTGCCTCAGCCATCCAAGTAGCTGATACTACAGGGCCTGCCACAACGCCCAGCTATTTTTAGAGACAGGGTCTCTATCTTGCTCAAACTGGGCTCTAACCCATGAGTTCAGGCAATCCACCCACCTGGGCCTCCCAAGATTACAGAGGTGAGCAACCTCCCCTGGCCCCTGAGGCTGCTGCCCTTTAACCAGACCCAGCCTAAGTTCCATGACCCTCCCAAGGCAAAGCTGTCCACTTCTCCCGAATATGTCAATCAAGATAGGTGAGTGCACACAGTTAGGGTGGGTAGAGAAGAGGCTTTCCATATAGAAAAGCTAGGTCTGAACCCACAGGATGCACTGGGGGCAGATGAGTGTAGGTGGGGTAAGATGGTACAAGGCTGGAGGGATAGCGGAGCTAGGGTTGGATTACACTGAAAGCCCCTAGGAGTTGTGGGGAGCCAGGAAAATGACCCCAGACACTGAAGGGTACACAGTTTTAGTAAGCCTGTTCTCGTCAGTTCCAGCTGGATCTAAACACCCCTAGGAGGCAGGCCTAAAGCACAACTAGATTGCACACCTGGGAGCCAGGTGCCTGAGGCCTCTTCCACAAGTTTGAGAAGCATGGAAATCAGGTATCTGATTTGACAAACACTTCTGGACTCCAAAGTATGGGACAAAGAAAACCGAGGCAGCATGTTGGACCCTGCCACCGCAAGCAGACTGATGACACCTATTCCCAAAATAGGGTCCAGTTTGTGGGGCAAGGCAGGTCCATCATCAACAAAATTTCATATTTCAAAATGCCATTAAGTAAATGTTTATAACTTGTAAACATTTTTGTGATTTAAAAAAAGTATATAATACATTTGGACTGTACATGTTTATAATGTGTAACTAATGCGGGATACATACTAAAAATATATAAAGGAGGACATTTTGCAATAAAATAATTGGTGGCTCACACCTGTAATCCTAGCACAATTGAGCCCACGAGTTGGAGGTTACTGTGAGCTAGGCTAATGCCATGGCACTCTAGCCTGGGAAACAGTGAGACTCTGTCTACAATAAATAAGTAAATAAATAAACAAGCAAAACAGTAAATAAAAATTTAGAGATTATTGTTCAAATGCAGGCTTTCTCAACATGGGTTCTACTTTTAGGGTTTGTTTGTTTTAAAGTTTCCAACTATATCCTGCATGAACAACCTGGGCACTATTTTCACATAGGTCTTTGCTGTGGGGAGCTGTTCTGTGCACGGTCAGATACACACATTTAGTAGCATTCCAGGCCTCAACTCATTACCCTCCTTCTCTACACAACTGTGACAATCAAAAATGTCTAACAAATGTCTCCTTAGGATGGAATACCAGATTTAGCCGGACAAAAAAGCAAAAATAAACTAAAAAGCCAAAACATACTTATTAAAAAATATTTACCTGAATTCTAATTTAAGTTAGCTGTGTTTTATCTGACAACCCTGAGTCAGGGAAGCAACCTCTCTCCTCCATTGAGAACCACCATTTTTCTTCTTTTTTATTTTTATTTTTTTTAAAGTAAAAGAAGTCTGGCTTGGTGCCTATAGCACAGGCACGGTGGTTATGGTACCAGCCACATACACTGAAAATGGTGGGTTCAAACTTGGCCTGGACCTTCTAGACAACAATGACAGCTACAACAAAAAACAGCTGGGGGTGCCTAGGGCACCAGTCACACACACCAGAGCTGGTGGGTTGAACCCAGCCTGGGCCTGCCAAACAACAGTGACAACTACAGCCAAAAAATAGGTGGGTGTTGTGGTGGGCGCCTGTAGTCCCAGCTACTTGGGAGGCTGAGACAAGAGAATAGTTTACGCCCAAGAGTTTGAGTGAGGTTGCTGTTGAGCTGTAATGCCATAGCACTCTACCAAGAGTGACATAATGAGAATCTGTCTCAAAAAAAAAAAGCCGGGCATTGCAGCGGGCACCTGTAGTCCCAGCTGGCACCTGTAGTCCCAGCTACTTGGGAGGCTGAGGCAAAAGAATCACTTAAGCCTAGGAGTTTGAGATTGCTGTGAGCTGTGACACCATGGCACTCTATTAAGGGCGACATAGTGAGACTCTGCCTCAAAATAAAATAAAATAAAATAAAAGAGGTCACATTATAGAGCCCAGGCTGGAATGTAGTGGCAATTCACAGATGCAATCATTGTGCACTGGAGCCTCAAACTCCTGGGCTCAACTGAGCCTCCCACCTGAGCCTCTGGAGTAGCTGGGACTATAGGCACCCATCACAACACCTCGCTAATTTTTCTACTGTTAGTAGAAATGGTGTCTCACACTTGGTCAGGCTGGTCCCAAACTCCTGAGCTCAAGAGATCTCTCCTCAGCCTCCCAGAGTGCTAGCACTACAGGCGTGAGCCACTGAGCTCTGCTTAAAAACCATCATTCTGGCTTGGCTCAGCTCAGCACAAGCCCATAGTACAGTGGTTATGGCCCTGGCCACCTGCACCAAGGCTGGTGGGTTAAACAACAATGACAACTGCAACAAAAAAATAGCTGGCATTGTGGTGGGTGCCTGTAGTCCCAGCTACTTGGGAGGCTGAGGCAAGAGGATCACTTAAGCCCAAGAATTGGAGGTTGTTGTGAGCTGTGATGCCATAGCACTCTACTGAGAGTGACAGAGTGAGACTCTGTCTCAAAACAAAAAACAAAAAAAATTCTTATGTGTTCTTGTGTCTATAATATTCCCTAGATTGTTGCTTCTTTCTCACCTTCACCCTACCTTCCCTTCCTGTCCAAACTCTTCCACTGTGTTCTTTAGAATTAATAATCCATAACCTTCAAAAGCCCTGGCCATTCTCAAAACAGCATTTTCTCCGATTTCTTATCTTCATTAAAATCTGGCTATATCTTTTTTTTTTTTATTTGACACAGTCTCACTCTGTCCCCCTGGATAGAGTTCCATGGTGTCGTCATAGCTCACAGCAGCCTCAAGAGATCCTCTTGCTTCAGCCTCCACAGTAGCTGGAACTACAAGCATGCACCACACATTCAGCTAATTTTTCTATTTTTAGTAGAGAAGGGGTCTCACTCTTACTCAGGCTGATCTCCAACTCCTGAGCTAAAGGGATTCTCCTGCCTCAGCCTCCCAGAGGCCTAGGAGACTCAGCCACTGCATCCAGACAAATCTGGCTGTCTCTTAAAGGCATTTTCCCTTTATCCACCCAAATGGTAGTTGCTTATGCTCTCAGTTTTCATGTACCTCAGAAAAGAGAGGTGTAAGGAAATTTGGAATAAACAAAATATAACTGGTATTTCTTTCTTTCTTTTTTTTTTTTTTTTGAAACAGAGCCTCAAGCTGTACCCCTGGGTGGAGTGCCATGGCATCACAGCTCACAGCAACCTCCAACTCCTGGGCTCAAGCGATTCTGCTGCCTCAGCCTCCCAAGTAGCTGGGACCACAGGCGCCCGCCACAACGCCTGGCTAGTTTTTGGTTGCAGCCATCATTAGTTTTTGGCGGGCCCGGGCTGGATTCAAACCCACCACCTTAGGTGTATGTGGCTGGCGCCTTAGCCATTTGAGCCACAGGCGCCGAGCCATAACTGGTATTTCCATTGGAAAACTATACATTCTTTAAAGCAGACCCTTACAAGAGTATCCGATTTTAGCCTTTTATTGATTTCGAGTTATTTAACAGCTTTGTAAGTTATAGAAAGCAGTGCAAAATTATCCTTGTCTATAGACTTGCAAATAAATTATGCCCAGTGGCAGTTCAATTAACATACCTCTCCTATATGGGAAGAAGCCAGTTTTTGCCTACATTTACAAATTCATTTCAACTTCCCTGATTTGTAAATGTAGATATGTATATTCACTTTTGGTTCTTTTTTGGGGGGGTAATTTTCTTTATTTTTAAATTTTTTTTGGAGACAGAGTCTCAAGTTGTTACCCTGGCATCATAGTTCACAGCAACCTCCAATTCTTGGGCCCAAGCAATCCTCTTGCCTTGGTTTTTTTCTCTATTTTTAGTAGAGATTGGGGGGGGCGGGGGGTGGTTGCTTTTGCTCAGGCTGGTATGGAACTTGTGAGCTCAAGCTATTCACCCGCCTCAGCCTCCCAGAGTGCTAGGATTACAGGCATGAGGCACAAGGCTGGCCTTTTCTTTCTTTTTTTCCTTCTACTTCTTCTTCTTTTTTTTTTTCCAGGTAGAGTCTCAGTAGGCACTCAGGTGGAGTGCCATGTCATCACAGCTCACAGCAACCTCCAACTCTTGGGCTTAAGCGATTCTCTCACCTCAGCTTCCCAAGTAGCTGGGACTACAAGTGCCCACCACAATGCCCCGCTATTTTTAGAGAAGAGGCCTTGCTCTGGCTCAGGCTGGTCTCACACCTGTGAGCTCAGGCAATCCACCTGCCTTGGCCTCCCAAGTGCTGGGATTATAGGTGTGAGTCACCGTGCCCAGCCGGAGTTCACTAAGATCTTTTTTTTTTAAGCATAATTTCCATTTTATTTTTTCCTAGAGGATAAGCATTCTCAAAATACCTATCAAGAACTCAACTCCTGGGCAGTGCCTGTAGCTCAAAGGAGTAGGGCACTGGCCCCACATGCTGGAGGTGGTGGGTTGAAACCCAGCTCCGGCCAAAAACTGCAAAAAACCCCAAAAAACTCAACTCCTTACATAGGCTTTGGTGGAGGTCATGGGGCAGCACCCACAGGTCTAAATTGGGGTGGAGGTGGTGGGTCCATGTGGGCTTCCCGAGAATGACTCCTGATTACCTCGCTGTGAATAGCACAACTCTCACAGTAATGTAGCTTCACATAGAGCTTGGGAAGCACATAGGCATCGAAGACACTTGCTTCAGAAATGTCCCTCACAGTTGTGGCCTCCGCTATGTTCCGAATGATGAACTTCTTTATAGCTTTGTCTCTGGGCACACATCGGGTGCAGTTCATGTAGCAAATAGGTTGCATATGGCCATGACCCTTTTGGGCACGACCATTGTTCCTTCTTGTTTATGATCTTTGAAGTGAGGATGCGAAAGGACTAAAATTTTTAACATTTTTCAATTTATATCTGAATGAGAGTCATCATTTTACCTTAAAAAAAAAACATTTCTTTTTTTTTTAATTTAGAGAATAGGCTCAGCGCCGGTGCTCAGTGGCGAGAGAGCTAGTCACATATACCAGGGCTGGTGGGTTTGAACCTGGCCAGGACCTGCTAAACAACAATGACTGTGGCAGTAGCCTATAGTACCAGCTACTTAGGAGGCTGAGGCAAGAGTTTGAGGTTGCTGTGAGCTGTGACGCCAGAGCACTCTACCAAGGGTGACATAGTGATACTCTGTCTCAAAAAAAAAAAAAAAGGAAATTTTTTCCTTCTACACTTGTTAAATACTCCTACAATGACTTTCTTTCACCTTTTTTTTTTGAGACAGAGCCTCAAGCTGTCCCCCTGGATAGAGTGCTGTGGCATCACAGCTCACAGCAACCTCCAACTTCTGGGCTCAAGCAAGTCTCCTGCCTCAGCCTCCCAAGTAGCTGGGACCACAGGCATCCGCCACAACACCCAGCTATTTTTTGGTTGCAGCCATCATTGTTGTTTGGTGGGCCTGGGCTGGTATTCGAACCCACCACCTTAGGTGTACGTGGTGGGCGCCTTAGCCACGTGAGCCAAAGGTGCCGAGACTACTTTCTTTCACATTATTGAAAGGATAAGGATACTCATTCATTGACCCTCATTGCTCTTTTAATTCTCTTTCTTATTTTCCCTCTTAATCTCTACTAAATTTTGTGGTCTACAATTTCTCTCTCTTGCCAATAAACTCCATTGTTCTTCAACTTTTTTCGGGGGCGTAGGGGGAGAAAATCTCACTCCTTTGCCCTGGGTAGAGTGCTGAGATGTGGTATCATAGCTCACTGCAGCCTCAGTGGCTCAAGCAATCTTCTTGCCTTAGCCTCCCGAGTGGCTGGGACTATAGGTGCCCACCACAACACCCAGCTAATTTTTCTATTTTTTAGTGGAAATAGACTCTTGCTCCTGCTCAGGCTGGTCTCAAACTCTTAAGCTCAGGCAATCCACCTGCCTCACCTCCGAGAGTGCTAGTCAATTTTTTAAAATTTCATCCACCTGGAAATCCTCTAAACTCTAATGAACCTAATTATCCGCTTTCTATATGGCAGAAGTGGGTAGTTTGTGCACTGCTCTAAAAATCTATACAATAGGGCAGACTGGTACCCAAGAACCTCCAACTGAGCTCTCAACATCACCCAACCTTGGTCATCTCAACTGCCCTAGTTTCTACCTTTTATTCAAGCCTTTCCGTTCTCTTTGACTTTGTGCTGCATCTAGTGAATGGAGGCTAGAGTGCCCTGGTGTCAGCCTACCTCACAGCAACCTCAAGCTCCTGGGTCCAAATAATCCTCTCATCTCAGCCTCCCAAGTAGCTTCAACTGCAGGTGCCCACCACAATGCCTGGCTAATTTTTCTATTTTTACTAGAGATGGGGTCCTACTCTTGCTCAGTCTGGTCTCCAACTACTGAGTTCAAGGGCTCCTTCTGCCTTGGCCTCTCAGAATGCTAAGATTACAGGTGTGTGAGAGGTCAAGGACAAAAAACAGAAGATTATTCTGAAACGTGAATGAAAGGAAATCAGAGTTCAGGTTCTGTGTGGGCAACGTAGCCTTTACACCCAGGTGTAAGAGAGTTGAGTCTGAAAAAGGAGTCAGGACATGGTTTAAGGTGGATGGGAATTTAAAGGGTTAGAGTAGGAGGGATTGGTATATTCTCTCTTTCCTGGATGGGATGGTTCTACTTGGGCAGGTCCCTACATTTGACTCTATTAGTGTGAGCCCTTTGTGCCAGCTTCTGTCATTAACTCTGATTCACCTCTCCTTACACCACACTCTCAGTAGATGACCTTGTTCTTCTTTACAGAAAAAATAGAAACTATCCCTTGGCAGTTCCCATGTTCTTACTACCTCACCTTTACCTGCACCATCCTGTCTTCCTTCCCTCCTGTTTTAATACAGAACCTGTCCTTCCTCCTATCTGGGGCCAATTATTTTCCTATCTTTGGATTCTGTCTGCCTGCCTTCTCAGAACTCTACCTTGTAGACTTCAGTCATATCTCAATATTTATAAGGCATTGGTTCCAGGACCCCTCTTGAATACCAAAATCCATAGATGATCAAGTCCCTTATATAACACGGTGTAGTATTTGCATATAATTTACATATATCTTACCATATGCTTTAAATAATTTTTAGATTACAAATGCCTAGCACAGGACAGTGCCTGTGGCTCAAGGAGTAGGGCACCAGCCCCATATAACTAGGGGTGGTGGGTTCAAGCCCGGCCCTGGCCAAACTGCAAAGAAAAAAAAAATGCCTAGTAGAATAGAAATGCTGTGTAACTAGCTGTTATATTCTATTGATTAGAGAATAATGACAAGAAAAAAACTCTGTACATGTTCACTACAGATGCAACAATCCTTTTCATTCTTTCAACTATTTTTGATCAGTGTTGATTGAATCTATGTATCTGATACCCATGGACCAACGGTATACAGCTTGATTTCATCTATGTATTTCCAATTTTTCTCTCTCAATGAGGTCCTTCTCAATGATTTTTAAATGTTCTCATTTTTGTCTATTAAACAAAACAAACTCCTTCCTGGATCCTACATCCCATTCCATTTCCTTTCCTTCTACTCACTGTGCAGCCAGTCCCTTTTGGGGTCCTGATCTATCATACCCTTGAAAAAGCTCTGGCTGAAAACACTGCTTTCTCACTAGTGAGAGCTGGGTGTCAACAAATCCAATATTTTTCAGTCTTCTTATTAACTTTTCAGCAACAAAGGACACGATCGACTATTCCCTCCTCCTTGAAATGCTCATTTGGCTCAGCTAAAGTGACACAATGCTCTCCTAATTTTTTTTTTTTTTGAGAAAGAGTCTCTGTCACCCTGAGTTGAGTGTCATAGTGTCATAGCTCACGGCAACCTCAAATTCTTGGGCTCAAGCAATCCTGCCTCAGCTTCCCAAGTAGCTAGGACTACAGGCATCTGCCACATCACACAGCTAATATTGGGGCAAGATGGGGGTCTTGCTCTTGCTCAGGCTGATCTTAAACTCCTGAGCTCAAGCAATCCACCTGCCTCGGCCTCCCAAAGTGCTAGGAGCACAAATGTGAGCCACCACACCCGGCTCTCTTAATTTTTTTCTTTCACTTCTGGCCACTCTTTCTGATCCTGTTTCTTCTTCTGCCCAAAGTCAAGCCTTGGCATCCCTCAAAGCTCAGTCCCAGGCACTTCTTTCTTACCTGATACTTCCCCAGGATAGTTTTCATCTATTCTCGAGATTTCACCAACTATTCCCTTATTGATGACTATAGTCTCAGTCATGCATCTGGGCTCTCGTCATTTGTGAACTCTTTTTGGAAGTCTCAGGGACACCTCAAATTCAATGTGTACATAACTGAACTTAGGGTTTCCCCTCTGAAAACTGGGCCTTTTCCTAGAGTCTTAGCTGAGTGAATGGTTACTGGTCAGAAACACAAGTGTTTCCCTGTCCTCATTCCCCATCCTCTCTAAACCATCAACAAATTTTAAATTTTATTTTATTTTTTTTTAACAAATTTTAAATGTATCTGCTCTCTGCTGGATGTGGTGGCCCATTCCTATAATCAGCACTCTGAGAGGCTGAGGCAGGTGGACTGCCTGAGCTCAGGAGTTTGAGACCAGCCTGAGCAAGAGGAGATCCTGTCTCTACTAAAAATAGAAAAACTAGGCTCGGCACCTGTGGCTTAAGTGGCTAAGGTGCCAGCCACATAAACCTAAGGTGGCAGGTTCGAATCCAGCCCGGGGCCGCCAAAACAACAATGACGGCTGCAGCCAAAAAATAGCTGGGTGTTGTGGCAGGCGCCTATGGTCCCAGCTACTTGGGAGGCTGAGGCAGGAGACATGCTTGAGCCCAGGAGTTGTAGGTTGCTGTGAGCTATGATGCGACAGCACTCTACCCAGGGGGATAGCTTGAGGCTCTGTCTCAAAAAAAAAAAAAAAAGAAGAAAAGAAAAACTAGTCAGGTATGGTGGCAGGTGCCTGTAGTTCCAGTTACTGGTGAGGCTGAGACAAAAAGAACACTTGAGCCCAAGAGTTTGAGGTTGTTCATGACCCCAGGGCACTCTGCCCAGGGTGACAGAGTAAGACTCTGTTTCAAATAATAATAATAATAATAATAATGATAATTAAATAATAGCTGGGTGTGTGGCAGATTCCTGTAGTCCCAGCTACTTGGGAGGCAAGAGAATCACTTAAGCCCAAGAGTTTGAGGTTGCCATGAGCTATAAAACCACAGCACTCTACCCAGGATGACATAGTGAGGCTCTGTCATAAATAAATATATATTTTAAAAATACATATATCTCTCTACTCTCCAAACCCACCATCACTAGCCTTAAACAAGCTGCCATTTTCCTCTTCTCTGTACTATGGCACAAGGTTCCTAATCATCTACTCAAATTTGTTTCCAGTCCTCTCAATTCTTTGTTTTAGTAGTAGCCAAAAGAATATTATGAAATGTATATCTGTCTCTGGAAAGCTCCCTGTGACTCATAGGTTTAAAATGTTTACTATGGCCAGCCCCCTACAGAATGTAGCATCTAACTGCACCCTCATCTGTCGCCATGCTCCCCTTCCCATGTGCTTCTGCTACAGTGGCCTTCTTTTAGGTCTCTTTCTCGGAACTGTTACTTTGCTTGGGCCAACCCCACTCAACCACTCACTTTTCCTTATTCACACCTAATGTTCCTTCAGGTCTTAGCTCTCCTTTTTGTCTGTAATGTCTCCCACCTTAATCACTATCATCATTATCACATAAAAGCTAATGCTCAGACCTATAAGTCAAGCATTGACCTTAGGGGCTACCAGTGAGAATTTATTATTTATTTATTTATTATTATTATTTTTTTGAGA